TTTCCTTTCCTTTCCTTTCCTTTCCTTTCCTTTCCTTTCCTTTCCTCTCCTCTCCTCTCCTCTCCTCTCCTCTCCTCTCCTCTCCTCTCCGTCCCCTTTCGCAAAATGACCAGATAAATGGGAGGGGGAGGGCTAGCAATTTGTGTCATTTCCCTTTTGTGTGGAGTGGAGTGAAACACCTCAAAACAGGACACTCCTGTCCTCTTCTGTTGATCATCTGGAGAGAGCACAGATCAATTGAAGGTGGTCTCTGTGTTTTCTTAGCATTTTGAAGTCTGCAAAAATGGAGATGATCATATGTCTGGTTAAATCTGCTTCATGGGGTAATAGAAATGCTGTGCTGTGGAATATCCTCAGCTAAGTAATACACAAATTTATCTAATCATATCTACACTATAGTTAAAGGTCTGCTTCAGAGGGTATTCATATATTAAAAGCAACTCACAAGCAGAAACCTTCATATTTTGCCAATTATGACAGCATAAGTCTAGAGCAGGAAGTACAGTTCTTCCAACATTCAGTACTTTTATCTGTAATGCTTCTCAGAGTTACGCAAAATGTGTAATAGTGTTAATTTCATTTATCTAATATATTGATGTAGGTGAAAGCTGCTTTCTTTGCCAACTTGCTAGTTTGTGTGGCTGGATTGGTTGCAGTAATCCTCCATGCTACTGAGATTGCACAAACTGTTAAAGAAGGAAACCCATGTCCTCCGAACATCACTGAGCCACAGTACTGCAAAAATTATGTTCAGGTAAATCCCTCCACCCCTCTCCATGTTTATGTAGCAGCAATCCATAATTTGCTTGAAATGGTCCAACTTATTAAGACTCAAAGCTTACAAGACCCTTCACCTTTCTACATTGGGTCTAGATATGAGCCCTGTTTTCCATTATAGGGTTTATTTTGTTTGTTTTGTATTGTTTCTATTTTCTGTCATTTGCAGAACTATAATTAAGCTTCTGCTACACAGTTATTTTTAACTGTTTAGAAACAAACCCACTGACTGAGTTAACACATTACATTAAGCCATGGTTTGCTTAATGGTTTACCATGATTTGAGAAGTAAATCACAGATAGCTAAATAGATACAATATCCTAAGCCATAAATTAGAGTTAACAAATCAGAGTGGCTGCGTTCACATAGGACGCTAAGTCAGAATTAAACATTTATTGCTGAGTGTAATGTCTAAATCCAGTTACTGTATCGTTTCCATATTGGTTGGGAAGGTCATGATATCATTTCTTGAATTTTTTACATATTTGACCTTCCCACCTTAGCATTTATTTCTTTTCTACTTCTCTGCTTATCATCTCCCTGAATGCAGTAGTAATTATTATGAGTATACATGTCCATGTACTTTAACAACAACAACAAAATTACACCAGAATTACAAAATGCTGTCAGGTCTTTGTACCCATTGCCAAGAACCTCTGTAATAATATCAATATTTTTGTGTTTTCAAAGAATGAAATACATGTCTATTTGCAATGGGTTTATAAATAAGAAGACAACTTGAAATCAGAGTAGATTAATCTTTAAAGGAACTGCTGTTAGCAGATGCTTGGATATTTTCTACTAGAAAACGTTTAGGATTGCTTCACATACCTGCTTCCCTTTCTTAGGATCACTGAGGGCATATAGGATTTTTTTGTATGTATAAAATAAAGCTTGCTGGCTGCTAGATAACGTATCTCATACATGCCAGGGTATACTTGGATCACTGAATGTTCTAAACTTCAGAGGATGTAAAAGTCAGTCAAGGCAATTATCCTTCCAAGAAAGTCAGCCCATCTTCATATCTGTGATTTTCAAACATGGTAAACATCTGGCTTAGGATTATGAGAACTTCTAGAGGTTAGGAAAAGCAGGGATCCAATGATGCATAGTATTTTGGGCTATGGTTTTCTTTATTGATACCTGCAACAAGTCAGAACTTGAGTGGCTACATGATATTTTAGGTACTGAATTTTGTTCTATCTTATTAATGTTGCGTGTATGTGTTTTAAATTTACAAGCCACCGTGAGGATCCTTTTAGACCACCAGGTCTGGGGAATCTTTGGCCTGCTTGGCTAAGCCAGGCCATTCACCAGCTACACCTAAAATAAGGCCTCTTCCTCTCTTTTAATGCCCCTGCTCTTCCCAAAACCGCCTCCCTACAATAGTCTTGTTTCTTTGATTTCCCCAACATCTGCTGTTGTTGCAGTGTCATTTGCTAGTGTTATTTCATTATTGCTGGGCTTAGCATAATGCCTCTGCTTTTACATAGAGAGCAGAGGCTTGACATTCAGTTCTCAAAAAAAACCAAAAAAAACCCAGCCTAGATAAAATTGAAAGAAAGCCAAATAATTCTTTATTCTGGCTAGCAAAAGTGTTTTGCCAGTTGTCAAGGCAGGGATCAGGTGCCCAGGCAATTGATTCTTTTAGTTCTTTT